TTGCGGTTAGCAGCCCCGTCCTTATCCTACAGCACCACACCAGGGTGAGACACCAAATTAAATGGAGAGGTATGTCGTATTCATGGATAGGGAGAATTTAATATTGTAAAGACATTAATCCCAAATTACTACAGATTAATTATAATTCAAAATAAAATTCCAACAAGATTTTTTATTAAATATGATGAGATGATTCTGAGTAAAGTCGGAAGGAGCAATGAGGAGTAACCGATACTATCAGATATTAGAATTTGTTATGGAGAGGTAGTAGTTAAAGCAGAGTAATACTGAGGCAGAGAGAGACAAATGGACCAGTGTCACAGAATTGAAAGACCAGAAACAAACCTAAGAACCTATGGAATTTTGGTATATGACAAAATGGTATGTCAGATAAAAAGAAAAGAGGAAATGCTGATAAATGAAACTGGAAAAAAATGGTTACTTAATGAAAGATTCCCTACCTCATACCATATATTTTTACCTTACACTGAAGATAGATTAAAGACCTTAATATAAAGCAACACTTTAGAAATTCCTGCTAGAAAATACTGGTAATTATCCTTACTGCTTGAGGTGTAAAGACAGGACACCAAGTTTTTTGTTAAGTGATTGTTTAATTGATGATAACTAATTTCAGTTTTGGAGTCCTGGTGTGGTGCTATAGGATAAACGCTGGACTGCTAACCACAAAGTCAGCAATTCAAATCCACCAGTTGGTCCTCAGTAATTCTAGACAGGGTCTCTAGGAGTCGGAACCGACTCAACAGCACTTAACAGCAAGAACATGTTATTTTTGGTTCCTTTTTTATACAAGTTTCAAATTCTGTACTAAACTATCAGTGTTGTCTTTTAACTTCTTAAATATTCAAAGTACTTCAAAAAATTGAAAATAGAAAACAGTTATCTTTGTTTTCCAATTTTCTGCAAGCTCTCTAGTGTTAAGTAGTTATTTTAAATTGTGTCTGAAAACTTAATTATTTGAAGCCTTTGTTTTTTTGTGTGTGTGTCTACTGTCTGTTTTATTTCCCTTCCTATCAGTTTATATTACTTTATTTTGTCTCATCATACATCTGGTTATTAAAATAGAACACCAGACATTGTGTATGAAAAATTGCACAGATATGTTACAGTTCAGGTGTCATCTGCCTGCAGAAGATTTTTTTGTGGCAGGTGGCTAGGCTTACTAGCAATCCCACTTCACCTACATTCATGAGTGATGGAAGTTGTTTGAAGCTGGACTTTGTCCCTATGAGCGTTTGTATATTTCTAGTTAACCTTACTTCCAGAGTTTTCTGGTCCTACCCAAAGCATGGGCATTTATCTATCACATCCCCCATACTTGGCAGACCCTGAACGTCTTTTTTCTCTGTAGTCTCTTGAAAGTTCATTATAAATTTTAATGTTCTTTAACCACCTGATCCAAAATTTGGCAGGATAGATCCAAGATAAAATTGGCCTCTTACTCTGAACTTACTTCCCTGAGTTTCTTTTTCAAGATCCTGGCTCTGCAATTTTTCATGACCTTCTCAGTGCTCTAATGTCTTTGGATAAATTTGTTTTATATTTCATACCTCATTTTTAGTTCAGTAGCTTATAAAAATGTCTAAATGTTTGATTAGTCAACAGGCCTTTCTCTAATTCTTGACTCACTCACTAATTGAAGAAATATTTCATAACCATCAGTTGTATGTAAGCCACTGTGTTCCAAGCTTTGCAGAGAAAGAGATACAACACTACCCAATAGGGTAGAAGAGGCATATATAAATGTTTATCTGTAAGGACACAAAGAAGGACAGGTCAAGTGCCATACTAATTTAGGGATAGGAGATAATCCTTCCATCTCAGAGACTCAGATTCTAAAGGAAGCTTCAGAGCTGAGCCTTGAACGGTAAATACAAGCAGCCTTAGTAAACCCTGGATCCTGCCTTGGGTTAGAACAGGTAGCAGTCCTGGCTCCTGCCCTCAGTGGTTTCTAACTGTGCTGTCCAGAAATTCAAGCACTTCTGATGTATTCCCACACATTGAAATAATTCAAAGTAAAATCTCATAAAAAGTGATTTTTGGAGAAGCAAGTAGAATTTCTCTTGTTTGATGGAAAGATCAGGTCACTAAATGTTTTAGAACTTTGGTGTATTAACAAGTTTGTTCGTTTTGGGTTTTTTTTAATGTACTATTTTTAAAGATTTTAAATGAGTTTTTGTTTAGGAATAGTTTACAGACAATGAGTTGTACCCAAAAGTGTACTTCCATGTAATCAACTTCACAATCTAGATAGGGCATTACCATCACCTTCCTATTTAATTTTCTCCCCATATCTGGCCCCAGCCAACCCCTAATCTGTTTTCTGTTACCACTAATCTGTTGTTAGAAGTAGATTAAATTTTTTTCTAGACTTGGTTGTAAATGGAAGCATTTCGTTTTGCATCTTGCTTCTTTTGGTCAGCATGTTTTGAGCTCTATAATTGTTCTGATGTGTGTGTATCTGTGTTGTTGTTGTTAAGTGCCGCTGAGTCCGTTCCGACCCATAGCAACCCTGTATAGGGTTTCTGAGGAGTGGCTAGAGAGCTTGAACTGCTAACCTTGCAGTTCAAACTGACTTTGCAGTCCAGTGCATTAACCCACAGTGCCACCTGAGGATGTCCTTTTATTGCTGAGTATGATAAGCTAACTGCAACGTTAGTTGTTCAAACCCACTAGCCGCTCCTCGAAAACCCTATACAGGGTTGCTATGAGTCAGAACTGATGCAACAGCACTTAACAACAATTATTCCATTGTATGACTGTTGTGTTGTTAAGTGCCGTTAAGTCGGTTCCTACTCATAGCGACCCTGTATAGGATTTCCGAGGCTTTTTTCTTGAATCTTTGTGGAAACAGAACACCTTATCCTTCTCCCATGGAGTGGCCAGTGGGACTCTGTCACAGTTTGTTCACTCATACAAGTTTGATTTTGTTTGTTTTAAGTTTTTATTGTGAATTGAGTGATAGTTTACATGGGAGAGCATTAGTTTTACACTCATCATTTCATTGTAATGATTACAATCCCCTCCGTGCATCATCATTCAACAGTATTTGCTTCTGTTCCCTCTGTGTTTGGTTTTTTTGTTTGTTTGTTTGTTTGGTTGGTTTTTTTTGGGGGGTGGGAGGTGTGCACACAAAAACACTCAGGAATATATAATCATGTAAACAACCTCCTGGTGGCCAACATACAACCTTTCTCTTCCCATGAGTCTAGCTAGAGTCCTTAGCTGCGCCATCTTCTCCATATCCTCATCTCTGCCTCCATCTCTGGTTTTGCTGCTTCTCTGGATAGGGTCCCACCTTCCGCTCATGCTCTTCTCCCTTGATGGTCCTAGGGTCCTTCATACATGTGTGCTTTTAAACTTATTGTTAGGAGCATCCAGTTACTTTTATTCTGCCATTTGGTTAATCATCTTTATAATTGAGAGACATTAATATTTTGAATTTTAACTGTGTAATACTGTAAAAATGGATTTTGAAAAGTCACTGGGGGGTACAAATAGTGAATTAGGCTGCTAAACAAAAGGTTAGAGGTTTGAATCTACCCAGAGGCACCTTGAAAGAAAGGCCTGTGTTCTACTTCTAAAAACTCAGCCATGGTGGTGGCGGGGGAACACATTGATTTTTGAAGAGGTAGGCCTCTCATTGCCTACATATTGTGCCAGTAGAGTATGCTGTTATGATGTCAGTGTTGGTATTTTAATACTGTGACCCTTTAGTTGGACAAGTGTGTTCTTGTAGACTCTTCCAGATGCTGGACTTAAGACTGCAGATACTGGTATAATCTTAAATGTTAAGATAACTACAGAGATTATGAAAATATTTTAAATAAAAACAGCCCTAAATATATTTATTTTTATTTAGTTGTTGCCCGTGAGAGTAAAATTTTAACTAGTATTTCAAGTTTAGTATTTCATGTTTTAATGTTTTTGTATAATGAAAATTTTATGTAACAATATATTTCATGTTTTAAAAAATATGACTTACTGTTATTATTCACTGTCATTGAGTTGATTGCGACTCATAGCAATCCTGTATAAAGTTTCCGAGGTTGTATATTTGTACTGGAGCAAAAGCCTCATCTTTCTCATGCAGAGTGGCGGCTAGTGAGTTTGAATTTACGGTTAATAGTTCAGTGCTTATCCTACAACATCACCAGGTCTCCTTGACTTACTGCTATAGTTTATGATAATATTTTTTTAAAAAGGCAGTAATTCAGTTTCCTTTGGAACTGGGTTTAACAAGCTGTCACTATATCATACTCTGTCATAAAGAATGAGTTTTTATATTTCCTCAGAACTGCAAAATTTTCCTGCTATAGGGATTTTTTTGTTAAATACTTCATTTGTATATAAAATTTCTTATGGAAACTACCTAACTTACATCATCTAGCATTTTTTTGGTCTTTCAACCTTAAAATGCTGATCTAAATTTTAGCAGCGGTTCCTGTGTATGTCATTTTTATGTAATATAAAATTATCTATTAGAGTTCAGTTTTTAAGAATTAAGTTTGAATCTCCACTTCTTTGCTAGAAAACTTGAAGAAGTAATTTAATCTCCTTAAAAATCAGTTCGTCATCTGTAAAATGTAGATGATAATAGTTGTTGTATAGATTTAGGGGATACTTACATATAGCTGTGAGTGCAGTGATTAGGAGAAATGCTTATTTGTATTAATGAACTAACCTCTGTTGTGTGCAGTCTGCATCCATTTTCTAATAATCTGATTTGCTGTTAATGTCACTTTGGGATTCTGCTGTAGAGCCCAGATGACTGGCACAGGTGCTTTCTGAATATGACCATCACTTAATGAATACTGTTCAGTCCATTTGATGACAGTGATAAATGGCATTCTGTAGATTTTGTACTAATTTATTTTGTTGATTAAGATTTGCATGTTCCTCAAAATTACAATGGGCAGGAAAGAGGATCTATCAGGGGTTTTACTTCTACATTTATAATTGTTTTCAACATTATTCAGTCCCTGAACAACAGTTGCTTGACATTGAAGATTGTGACCTCAATGTGGTGAGACTGTGTTTCCAAGTTTTCCTCCCGGATGAACATGGTAATTTGACAACTGTTCTTACTCCTGTTGTCTCAAACCCAATTTATGACAACCGTAAGTACTTTCTTGTATTTGTAGCCTTCCTATGTGATTTTTGTAGTTTAATGTTTTAAAATTATTTTGGTAATTTAAAACAGAACATGTTTACTGTAGGAAAAATTCAAATATATAATAAAAAAATCTAAAATTTTATTCTCCAAAGCTAATCACTGTTCACAAGTGCATATTTCATCAGTTTCTTTATTCTGTATGTATATAAATACATCTCTGTTATCACCAATATTTACACAATATATTTTCAGCAGCTTTTGAAGAAATCATTATTGACCTTTTTAGAAACATTTTTTCCTTTTACCAATCTACTTTTCTTTCCCTTTAAGTCACATTGTTTTAGTAGTCATGTATTTCATTGTATATTATATATATTAGGTTATTGTATAAATACTTCTCTAGAGTAAAGTCTAGAATTGGAAATGTTACCAAATGCTATATTGCAAGATCAAAGGATATATAACTGGTTGTAGTTTTTGGTGTTTTTAAATATTATTGTGGTAAAATATACATTACACAAAATTTGCCATTGTAACTCTTTTTAAGTATGTGTATTTCAGTGATGTTAATTATACTTAGTGTTATACAGTTGTCAGCACTATGACTGTGCCTGATTTACATGTAGGACAATGAGCCTGAGGCAATAGAAGTAGGTCAGAGTATCCTCATCTTAGAGAGCTTTGAATGCCAGAGAGAGATATTAGATTTATTGGCCAGATAATGCCAGTGGGTTGGACATTGAATCAATTGTGATTCATATCGGCCCTGTAACCTCTTTCACTCTCCACACAGAATGACAGGTGGTTTTCAACCACTGACCTTTCATTTAGCAGTCCAACACCTAACCCACAGCGCCACCAGGGATCCTTGACCAAATGATAAAACCAAAAAACCTATGCCCCTTCTGATATGGCCAAGATTTATGATTAAACTGATGACAGTATGTAATATGGATTGGAAGAATTTTAATCTAGAAGCAGCGAGATTTAACTAGAGGGCATGTCATTACCAAGAAATAAAGTCACAAGGCTCAAAACCAGGGATGTAGTTTGAATGGAAAGGGACAGATGTGAATAGTTAATGTAGTTAGTGTTCTTAAAGTTATCTGTACACTACAATTTTTAATCTATTCTGTAAAACAAATTTTTAAATTCTCTTTAAAAAAAAGTATTTTTTAAAAAAATTCCTTTACACGTAGGTGCACCTAATACTGCAGAATTAAGGATTTGTCGTGTAAACAAGAATTGTGGAAGTGTCAGAGGAGGAGATGAAATATTTTTACTCTGTGACAAAGTTCAGAAAGGTATTTATTTTTTGTTTCATTGAATTCAAAATATATTTTAGATTGGTTGAGTGGGTGGGTAGGTGGGTACTATCCAGTCGGTTCCCACTTACAGTGTCCCTGTATAGGATTTCCGAGGCTGTAAATCTTTACAGGAACAGAAAACCTCATTTTTCTCCCATGGAGAAGCTTGTAGGTTCAAACTCTTAGCCCAACTTGTAACCCATTATGCTACCAGGGCTCCTTTATCTTTAGATTAGCAGGTGCATTTTACTTTGTTTTCCCATTGTTGTTATTTCTTTGGTTTATTATTCACTGTAGATGACATAGAAGTTCGTTTTGTGTTAAACGATTGGGAAGCAAAAGGTATCTTTTCTCAAGCTGATGTACACCGTCAAGTGGCCATTGTTTTCAAGACTCCCCCATATTGCAAAGTGATAACGGAACCAGTAACAGTGAAAATGCAGCTGCGGAGACCTTCTGACCAGGAAGTCAGTGAATCTATGGATTTTAGATATCTGCCTGATGAAAAAGGTATGACTTTTGGGTGGTAAAGTTTTATATACCTTTTAGAAGTAGGTCATCCTGATAACTTTTTCTTGTCAGACACATTTCAACACAGTTGTAAATATCCATACTTTCTCTTTTCCTGTAAATTTTCAGGTGGTTTTTAGCTGGTTGGTATTTATGCCCTTTGCATATCTTTCTTAGAAAGAGGTTCAGTTAATCTAGAATAATTTTAAGGTATCTAAAATGTTTATCAAAATTTCTGTTTTATTTTTGAGGGTCTGTTTTGGCCTGCATTGTGCCCTTTTTATCAGGAAACTTGCTACATGTAGAGTGGTTTCTATTTTGTTCTTTTTATCTGATCTTACAGTATTAGCTGATGTTACTGACTTAGGTGTTATAACAGTGAATACTTTAACTGTTTTTTCACTAAGAGAAAAGTATCCTTTACTAACTTTTTTTTTTTTTTAATTTATTGTGGATTGAGTGAAAGTTTGTTTACAGGGCACATCATCAGTTTCACATTCAACAATTCATATAACTTGTTTCATTACATTGATTATAATCCCCTCCATATACCATCAGTTAAC